CCCAGGCCTGAAGCAGCCACGGGAGAGAGCTGTCCCCAGGCTGACAGGAGCTGTGGCTGTAGGTAGAAGAGCATGACCATCTCTAAAATCCAGGCCAACAAGGCGGAAGAGGGGAGATTAAATACACACACCCCTGATCTCCTACCAGTCTCCTGCTTCCAGGAAGACAGCAAAGGGGCCTGAGAGTGGAGACCCATATGAGTCTCCAGGTACAGAGCAAAGAGTGGATATGGAAGAAAACACAAAAAATACCCATTACAATCCTGAAAGGTGAGGAGCCCATTCTCCCCGTCTTAGTCCAAGCTAAGCCCTTACTGTAAAGCCAGACATCTTGTGAGTGATCCCAGTCGGGTTTGGATCCTAACTAGCTATGAGGCTTTAAGCAGCTTAAATAACCCAGCGGGGCTCCATTCTCTTACCAGCAAATAGGCAAATACATTGTCCGAATGCCTGCACCCATCCCTGCGACAGAGCTAAAACACATGCAGAGATTTTCTGGGTCTAAATCCTGGCTCTTCACACTCTCTCACTGACCTGGCAAATAAAGGGAAGGGCTCCATTGCACCATCAAGTGGGATATGTATCTGATATTCAGAGCAAATTTATCGCTGCCTCCTAGTAAATAACACATTTGAGTCACAAGTGGCCTTAGAGATGATGGCCAGCCATATCATTTTAGGAGAGCTAGGATCAAAATGTAGGGCTCTGGACTCCTGATCCAGTGCTCCTTCACAATGGATAGATTCTCCTTGGGTCCTTCACAGTCCCAGTCAAAGTTAGGCTACAAAGCAGGAGAATGCTTGGGTCCAAAAACCATGTTTTGTTTTTATCCAGATGTTTTGACCTTATAGACAAAGCCTTTCCTGATCTAGGAATCCATCCAAAAATCTGGAAAAAATTAGATAGTTATTCTAAAATTAAAGTCACTGTAAGAATGGCAGGAAATAAACCAAAATATTTAAGTTGTGAACAAGTCATATATACTTGGTATAAATGATGGTCCAAGTTGATACAAATTAAAACATGTAAGTGGTTCATGGTATATTTGTATCAATTAATATTAATATATTAAAATATATCATATGGTTCAGGGATTATTTGTATCAATCAATTATTGCAGATCAGAATATATCAGGTGACTCATGGATTATTTATATATACCTACTCTTGGGTGCTGGGTGTTTTAATGAACACAATAGGTCTAAAAACTCATAACCAAATAGAAGCCATCACTCATGTTTGCATACTAAAACAACTAAGCCACAGCTGCTACAATGTAACAATAAAAACATCATCATTGTGAGCCATTAATTATTGGCAAGTTCCTAAAGTGTCTGGCATGAAGCCAAAAGATCTGGGTTCAAGGTTTGCTTGGCTTCTTTCTACCTCTGTGACTTTGGCTAAATCACTTGCCCTTCCCAGTGTAAGTAGAGTTGAAACAGAGTAGACCAGACATGTAGTTATTGGTTTTCAGACCCTTGGTCTTTCCACCTGATAACAAGCTAGGTCTCTGTTAGTACCTTTTGGGCATCCTTGCTGTGAATTAAATAGTAAATCAGATACTGTCATTCCCTGCCCTTGCTTAAAACTCTGTAACTGCTCTGTTCAATATGGTAGCCACTGCCCACAAGTGACTACTAAGCATTTGTAGTGTGGTTAATCTCAACACAGGTGTACTGCAAGTATAAAACACACACCAGATTTCAAAGACACAGTACCAAAAAAAGAATGTAAAATATCTCAGTAATACTGTATATCAATCACAGGTAGAAATGACAACCTTCTGGATATACTGGGTTAACTAAAACATGTTATAAATAGTTCACCCATTTCCTTTTACCTTTTTTTCATGTGGCTACTAGAAATGTTTAAATGACTTAGTTGACACACATTATGTCTCACATGGAAAGCACTGACCTATAATTTCCCACTCTTCCCAGAAAAGAATTTAGCCTCCATAGCAAGGTCCAATGTGATCCAGTTACCAAATATCTCTCAGGTCCCCTGATGTATTCTCCCTGTCCCTCACTGCCCTCCAACCACAGCAACCTTATGATCTCTCAGACACAGAAAACCTGTACCCCCCTTAGAGTCTTTTCACTTATGACTCCATCCTTCTGAAATGTTCTTTCCATGGAGACTCTACTCACAGCTGACTCATTCTCCTTCTTCAGGTCTTAGCTCACATGATCCCTTCAGTCAGGCCTTCCTGGACCATCTGACGTGAAAGGACCACATATCCAGTGAATGTCTTTTCCATGTACTTCCTCCAAGGCAATCACTGCCATCCTCAATTACCTTATCTAATTATCTGTTCACCTGATTAATGCCTGTCTCCCTCCACTAGAATAGAAGCTGTGTGAGGGCAGGAACCTTTTCTGTCTTATTCATGGTGTGCCATATCTCAGCTCAGGGCCTCCTAACCCATTGTAGTTCTCAGTTCAATGTTTGTTGAATGAATGAATGAGTGAACAATGAAAAGGGCAGGAGACAGAGTGAAAAATCCCAGTTAGGACAAACCCATTGGTAATGACAATAACAACAACACCATTTTCAAGTGCTTAACTTTTTCCCCATAATCAATCCTTAAGATTCATTTGAGAGGTAAAGCAGTACAGTTGAAAGGACACAGTTTGGAGTTAGAAATCCTGAGTTCAAATTTTAGCTCTGCCACTTACTGGCTATGTGACCCTGGATAGAGCTTGACTGTCCAGTATCTCCATTTTTCTCCCAGAAAAATAATTAGAATTATTATGGAATAATTAGAAGTATTCTGTGATTGTCTTGAAGTGTAAGTAAGAGAAGAACTTTGTCAGCTGGAGAGCTCCAATGATGTTTATGACACCAAAACATTCTTGAAAGGGAAGGATTAGTTTATGTACCTGGGGTGTCCCCAGTACCCAGCACAGGGCTTGGCTAAGGCAGGTGCCCCCAAACTGCTTGAAGGATGAATGAAGCTTCTGATAAGCCCTAGCACCACAAAGCAATGAGCATTGGGAAAATCAGATCTCTCACTGTTCCTACCTAGAAATGACAGTCCACTTTCTTCCAAACAGAAGCAAAAGCATCTCAGAGCTAGAGTGAAGCTGAGGTGTAATGGTCACATTTCCTCCTTTTTCCAGAACAGTCCAAAAATATAATAGTCTGTCCAGCTATCCAGCCAAGACTCTGAACTATAGGTCCCCTGGAACATTTGGCTCAAGAGAAGGGTTTGAAGAGTCAAAGTCAGCATCTTTAGCTGGGGACAGAATAAGTACTAAGCAGGGACTGGGGGGGGGGGGGCCTTTCTGCCCACAACAGGTTATTTTCCAGAAAAAAGAGACTGAGCCACCCCAAGCAGTAGCTCCTGATTCTCACAAGAGCCACAATATTTGCCTCCTTAAATGACACTGGGGCCAAGGGTAAAAATATGGAGAGGAAGAGGGTCATGTGTTTGGAGCTATACAGTGTTAAAGTTAATACAATTAGAATTATTCCATGAAACAATAATTTCTCAAGATGGGGCAAAAGGGTGGCTGGGAAAGGAGTGAGAAATGACTTCACTGAGAAGGCTTCTGCCCAGTTTGCGAGGGATAAAGCCTGTCTTTGTTATTCTCCTGGCTTCTGTTCCTGTAACTCTGAAATACAAAGGCTTCTGGCATGACATCCCAGTTCAGCACTTTTGTTCCTAGGATTTGCTACTGAATGGGCTATTCACATGGAAACTCTTTCAGGCCAGTCTTCTGTTGGCCACCGTTTATTTATACACGGGTTTACTGTGCAGCCCACCTTGGAAGTTTGGACAAACTAAACCAGGTGTAGCACTGCACCGTTTCTTCCTAGCCCTGCCTGCCTGCTCAAAGCTGATTAAAAGACAGAACCCAACCTGCATTCATTCAACACATGTGTTCCAAGTGTCTGTCACATGCTAGGTGTTGGGACTACAGCTGGGAGCAAGCAAGACAAACATCAATTCCAGCAGATCCACGAAGGAGGAAAATGGGGAATCACGAACAGAAAGCCAGCCTTTTCCAGGAATGTAAAAAAGGAATCATAATTTGGGATCATTGGTTAAGATTTGGGATTGCTGGGGATGATGATGATATGTTAACAACCAAACTGGAGGAGGTTTTAAGAAGGAAAGTATCTCCAATAAGAGATGAAGCCCTAGAATGTGACCTGCAGCTCCCCCATCCTCCCAAATAAGTCACATAAAGTACTTTAAGACCACTCCCCCCCACCCTTTCAGTCTCCCTGCAACCTGGTTTATGTTAGCCCACCTGAGTCCTAGTAGAAGAGGGTACTCATTTCTGGCAGTGAGTTACAGGACCGAAAACCTCACGAAACAGCAGTATTCTCCCCAGGGTAAAAAGGGGTTGGGGTTTAGTCCTCTGTCCGGGCAGGGAAAATGCCCCCAGGACCCCAGGTTTGTAGAACCCGCTTAATAAAGATGTGGAGTTATAGGCACACAGCACGGCACTGCGAGGGAAGACCTGGCTGATAATGTCTTACAGGACCTGTTATGCTAGACATGGCCAGACACTTTCCCCCACGGATGTGAGAAATCCACAGAGGGAAGCTTGCTGGTCCAGATCTCCATAACCCAATTTTCTGAGTTTAACTAGAATTTCCTGGTTTATGGCTTGCTATAATCCCATGCCCCTTCTTCCCAGGTAAGCGCTCACTCTCACTAACTCAGATTTTAAAGCCTTGCTGAAGAGTTCAACTTTGGACCAGTTATCCTCTCTGATCCTGTGTCCTCATGTACCAGATGCGAGTGAAAATCACCGTCATTATCATCACGGCACCAAGAACACCTTAAGTACTCACGAAACTAGAAAGAAAATGTGCATCTCAGCGCTTATTTAAAATCAGAATTGTATTCTCCTCCTCGCTGAATTGGGAGGGTGTACTCTAACACAACTTATGGAAGGCAGATTCATAAAATTTAGAAACCTCCATTTAAAAACAAACAAACAAAAAAAAAACAACAAAAAAACTTAACTCCGCTGGACTCTCACTTCTTGTCTGCTCACTGGAGGGAGGACTTGCCGGGGTTGGGGAAAGTTAGCAGGCCCAGTCGGTGAGGCTGAATACCACCTGCCTCCCCCGCCTCGCCCCGCAACACCCCCCCCCCCACGCCCGCCCTCCAGAACAAGGCAGAAAGGGTGGGAAGGGGGAACACGCTCAGCATTTATTTTTGGACCCAGCTCACTAAAAATACCTCGGCCTACCAGTTTGATCACTCTCCCCTCTGACCTGAATGGATCGCGGGGCCCAGCAGCCCGCCCCACCCTCTGCCCGTTGTCCTTTAAAGGAGAAGGGCGTGGGGACGGATTCCTGCAGCTCACTCGAGGGACTGATGAGAGCCGCCCGGACGGGCAGGGGCCGCGGCCGCACTGACGTCAGGGCAGCGCTCGCGCCGCAGCAGCCGCCCAGCGCGGCCCTGGCCGCCCAGAGGGAGGGGGTTGAGCCGCGCGCTGCGATTGGCTGGCCGAGCGCGAGCGCGAGCGAGGATTGGCTGGCGCGGTTTTAGAGGGAGTCCCGCTCTCCAATTAAAGGACCTCGCGGCGCCGGGCTGAGCGCAGAGCTCCCCCTTGGCCCGCGAACCTGGCCATTCAGCCAGCGCTGTCCCCGCTGCGCGCCCTAGCGCCTCTGCCGAGAAGCCAGGCGCTGTTCCTGCACCACAGAAGATGGCAAAGGTGGCTAAGGACCTCAACCCAGGAGTTCAGAAGGTGAGCTGCTATCTGTCTGTACTTAACCCACATTCTACCTTTTCCTTGTGCCCCTCTCCCAGGTTTCGCGGAGACTTCCCCAGACGTAAGTAGAAGGAAATTCATTAAATTCCAAGACTTCCCAGAAAACAAGTTGGGAATACATATTTGAGCCAACAGGCACACACCCTAAAACTTACTCTTAAAAGCCATTGTGTGAAGTATTTGCAAAGAATCTTAGTTCTTCGGTGATGCTAATTAAAATTTAAATAAAACTTTTTTTTTTTTCCTTTTTAAGAGTAATTCTATTGTCTGAAACGAGGGGGAAAAAAAAACCCCTACCTCCTCCCACCCCATCTTCCACCTCCTGGAATTGAGGTGAAGGCTTGGGGGAGAGTAACATTTACTCACAAGGAATCTCCCCTTTGGCTGTCTGTCCTCCTAGTATTTTGTGTTTTTTCACACACACACACACACACACACACACACACACACACACACACGTTTCTTTAGTTGGTGATGTTGGCAATGGCAGCAGTGCCAGCACAGGGGAACTAATTTCTGTCCCCAGGGTCTGCACGTTTCCCTTTCAGGAAGGGCTGGCCCAGAGCCCAGAAGGTCACGGGTGAATTACTGCAGGAGAGGCCCTCAGCTGTGCCTGTAGCTTCAACACCCACCAGCTACTTACCTGGATGCAATTGGGAGAGGGCACAGGTCAGAGACTTAGAGGGCAAGTGAGCTGGAAAGGAACAGAGAGACAGTCTAAGCCAGTGGAGAAACAGAAGCCCAGGGTTATAGAGCATTGGTTCCAGCAGGCAACACAGGGTAAGGAAAGCCTTAGGCTCTGAAACCCTGGCCCTGCCCCTTTTTAGCTATACTGTTTTGACCAAGTCACTTTTCTGTGCCTCATTTTCCTTGTCTCCAGTTTGGGGGATAATAGACCTCGCCTCCCTCCCAGCAGTTGTATCAGTAATGATACACTATGAGTTAATCACCCAAAGCAGTCATTTTTAAACTCTTGCGGGCAGAGTCCTCCTTAGACATCTGCCATTACCTGTGGAGTAGAATGAGAGGCAAAAAAACCAAAACCAAACAAACAAAAAACCCCAAACCCATGTCCGACTCAAAATAAAAATGCAAGCCAGATACTTAGAGCCACAGAGTTCGTGCATCTGATTTATTGCTGCACCATTACATATCTGTCCTGCCCCAGACTCCCACACAGAGTCCTGCAAACCTTTCTGAATGTGTTCACCAAGTCAGACTTAATCAGGGCATCTCTGGAACGTACCGTGTCTCATCACATTTGCCAGACTATTTGGAGAATCAGGTCGTCTCTCCTTCTATGGAATTCTCAGAACACTTTAGATCTTGGTAAGGTACCTGCTAATTTCTACCTAGTAGTGAGTCCTGCACAGACTGCTCTTAATTCTTTACACATCTTTCTACACTCCTTGAAGGCAAACCTTTCTGGTTCATCTCTGTTCCAGCACAGCATACCATACACAGCAGGACTCAATAAACTACCGGGGAACCACTGAATATCCGTCCAGCTAAGACCATAGTGTTCACGGACAGTACATTTTGTACATGAATGTTTTTTAACTTGTATGTAGCAGCCGGACATTTGCGTGCCTGAACTGCCTCCCCAAATTCAGCTGAGGTAAAAGAGTTTAGGGCTAAAGGGGCAGAGCTCCCACTGTCCTCTACAAAGTCAGGTGATTTGGGGGTGGTTTTACTACATGTTGACTGATAGATAATGTCTGAAGTAAGGCAGAGTACATGGAAACCCTCCTCCTTACTGAAAGCCAAAGCCACAGCTTGGAGGAAGCCTTGTTTTTATTTTCCTTTGCATCGGAGAGTGTGATTATCCGGATTAGAGGTGGAACATGTTCTCCTTCTTGTCACCCTCTAGTGCCAACTTCCTTGGCCTGCAAAGGGTTTATTTTCCATTTAGATCCAATTACAGGCTTAGAGAAGGAATGTGGTGGGTAGAGATGAAAGAGTGGACTTTTTTTTTTTTAACCTCTTGGGACTGTGGCAATGAGGACGGTCACCACTATGTAGATTAACCAAAGTCTTCAACTCAAAAAGTCAAGGGAAAAGAAGGGAGTGGGAGAGAACTTCTCTTTGCTGAACTTTATAATAGTGATTAAACACTGTCATACCAACAGCATGCTGAAAAGCTTTTATTGCATATTTACTCTTTAAATCTGCAGCAGCGGGGCGGGGGGGTATAACATTTGGCTTCAGGATGCCTAATCACATGTAGGCATTTTGAAACCATTGCATTAGACTCTTGGAGCTGCAAGAGACGCATTTACAAAATGAGAAATGGTTTAAAATGGCATACAAACTGTCTCTGCTGCCCTACCCCCAAAGGGAAGAGGGATACGAGGAATCCTTAGCAGCTGGAAAGTCATAAAAAGGTCTTCAGGAGAACATAAAATCCAGAACCCGGAGTACCTTTAGAGACTGTCTAACCAATCTGACAGAGTGGCTCCTGAGGATCACATACCTAGTTAGTGGCAGACCTTAGAAACAGTTACCTGCCTCCTCTCATCTGTGCCAAGTTCAATGCTCCCAATGGCTACTCTTGAGCCATCATGTGTTTTTTTTTTCTACTGGGAAAGAGAAGGTGTCCTAGCACAGAAAGTTCCCTGAGCATAGTCAACATTCCTTGGTAATAAAGGGCCTTGAAGGCCAAATGCCATTTCTTTTAGTGGAATCAACCACTACTGTGGATTTATTCTGTTGTTGATTAAGCAAATTTAAGAATACTGGTACTGCTGTTCTTGTAACCAGATCCAGGTTCCTACCCCAACTCTACCACTTACTAGCTATGTGCTCTTGGGCAAGCGAATTAACTTCTGAGTCTGTGTCCTTATCTGAAAATTGGAGAGATGGTCGCAGCACCTACCTCCCAAAGTATCCGTGGTCATTAAATGAGATAATGTATATGACAGGCTCGGCACGGCAGCTTTCAGAGTTAGCTAGTAGTAGTAGGCGTCGTGGTAGGAGTAGTATTGGTTGGCAGTGGTAGATTTCGATGGGTGTGTGAATGCTGAAAGGAGTCTTTTGGTGGATAAAGGACATGCTTTTCTTTATGACTATCTCATCTCAAGAGCAACTAATTTTTATTCAGCTGAACCAAAGCCAGTTGCTCAGTCTTGATAAGTTGAACATTGATCTTGTCTTCATTCTCCCCCCAACAGATACAAAATCTGCTTACAGGGAACAGAGATCACCAGTCATCTCACTCTGGAGTCATAGAATTTTAGGCCTGAAAAGGGACATGGAGCTCTTTTCACTTTTTAGACAAGGAAACTTAGCCCCAGAGGGGTCCAGCTCCTTACGTGAGATTGCTGAGAAAATGTGCCGAAACCCATTAGGCTTTGCAAGAATACGGGCCTATTGGCTGCCAAGGAGCCACTTGCAGGAATTTAGAAAGGACTAGAACAAAGAGATCTAAGAGCATGTTCACTGTTGACTGTACATGTGCCAGTGGATTGGCTCCAAAGGGACCAGTTTTTTCTGTTTTCACCCCTCAACACAATGTCAGAAGAGGATTACATGATGGTTCTAAGTGCATTGCCAGGTTCAGCTGGGCGTCTCCCCACATCCTCGTCTGCATCCCCTCCCTCCTGGCTTTCCTGTCCCCCGGCTTCATCCTCTCCTCTGCCCTCAGCGCTTTCTGCTTTCACCTCCAGTTCCTGCAGCGTGCAAAACTGCTGGCATGTTGCCTGAGCGAGCCGATCCAATGTAAACACAGCTCCTCAAGAACTGTCATTGGCTCCTTCAATCTTAAAAATATACTAGGCTGTCACTTAAAGATCTTTATAGCCAAAGCAGTGGAGACATGCCCATAGGTGTATAAGGAACTTGGCCCCAAAGAGAGCCTTTTTAAAAAAGAAAGACAGAAATTATCCAAGTCCTTCTTAAAGGATCTCTGAAAACAGATGCTGAAGCCATTACTTGGTAAATTGCAGATGCTTGTCATCTTGTGCAGACCTGTGTGAATATGTGGGGTTGGCGGCTGCTGATGGACTTTCACCATTGCATCCACCACCTGGGGTGGTGGGGGGCAAGGAAAGGCTTAATCACAGACCATCTCCAGGCTTTACACTCAGCCATCTAGGCTCCAAGACCTCCTCTCAGCCAGGGCTTATCCACCATTCTATAAGCAGGACTGGGGGAAAGGACTTCGGAATTTCCCTCTGAAGTTCCTGTGGTTTGATCCTCTCTCCACATTAACTAGCCAAAGGTGACAGGAAGAAAAAGAATAGGCTGAGTCCAGCAAAAGCTGGGGACCAGGAAGGAGGGACAGTGACACAGGCTCACGTGTGCCTCTTTCTTTCCCACCCCCATGCCTGCCACTTCTGGTGAGAATA